CATCTTTTAGGAGTGAAGAAGAACAGAATGTAAGTGTGGTGGAGGTACGTGAGGCATTACGTAGAATGGTATAAACCTTGGTAATAAATACCGACAAGTTGGTTTAGAAAGACACGTAAGCAAACACTATAACATATTTATTAGAAAACGTTTCGGTCCTGGGACCTTGATCACTTCTGAAGTGATCAAGGTCCCAGGACCGAAACGTTTTCTAATAAATATGTTATAGTGTTTGCTTACGTGTCTTTCTAAACCATTACGTAGAATGAAAGGGGGTAAAGCAGCTGGAACTGATGGGATCATGACAGAAATGTTAAAATCGGGGGGATATAGTGTTGGAGTGGTTGGTATTTTTGTTTAATAAATGTATGAAAGAGTGGAAGATACCTAGGGATTGGCGGAGAGCATGTATAGTCCCTTTATATAAAGGGAAGGGGGACAAAAGAGATTGTAAAAATTATAGAGGAATAAGTTTACTGGGTATACCGGGAAAAGTGGTAGGGTTATAACTGAAAAAATTAGAGGCAAGACACAATGTAGGATTGCGGATGAGTAAGGAGGTTTCAGAGTGGGTAGGGGATGTGTAGATCAAGTGTTTACATTGAAGCATATATGTGAAAAGTATTTAGATAAAGGTAGGGAAGTTTTTATTGCATTTATGGATTTAGAAAAGGCATATGATAGAGTGGATAGGAGAGCAATGTGGCCGATGTTGAAAATATATGGAATAGGTGTAAGTTACTAAATGCTGTAAAGAGTTTTTATGAGGATAGTGAGGCTCAGGTTAGGGTGTGTAGAAGAGAGGGAGAATACTTCCCGGTAAAAGTAGGTCTTAGACAGGGATGTGTAATGTCACCATGGTTGTTTAATATATTTAAAGATGGGGTTGTAAAAGAAGTAAATGCTAAGGTGTTCAGGAGAGGGATGGGATTAAATTATGGGGAATCAAATACAAAATGGGAATTGACACAGTTACTTTTTGCTGATGATACTGTGCTTATGGGAGATTCTAAAGAAAAATTGCAAATGTTAGTGGATGAGTTTGGGAATGTGTGTAAAGGTAGAAAGTTGAAAGTGAACATAGAAAAGAGTAAGATGATGAGGGCATCAAATGATTTAGATAAAGAAAACTTGGATATCAAATTGGAGAGGAGGAGTATGGAAGAAGTGAATGTTTTCAGATACTTGGGAGTTGACATGTCTGCGGATGGATTTATGAAGGATGAGGTTAATCATAGAATTGATGAAGGAAAAAATGTGAGTGGTGCGTTGAGGTATATATGGAGTCAAAAAACGTTATCTATGGAGGCAAAGAAGGGAATGTGCGAAAGTATAGTAGTACCAACACTCTTATATGGGTGTGAAGCTTGGGTGGTAAATGCAGCAGCGAGGAGGGGGTTGGAGACAGCGGAGATGTCCTGTCTAAGGGCAATGTGTGGTGTAAATATTATGCAGAGAATTCGGAGTGTGGAAATTAGGAGGTGTGGAGTTAATAAAAGTATTAGTCAGAGGGCTGAAGAGGGGTTGTTGAGGTGGTTTGGTCATTTAGAGATAATGGATCAAAGTAGAATGACATGGAAAGCGTATAAATCTGTAGGGGAAGGAAGGCGGGGTAGGGGTCGTCCTCGAAAAGGTTGGAAGGAAGGGGTAAGGGGAGGTTTTGTGGGCGACGGGCTTGGACTTCCAGCAGGCGTGCGTGAACGTGTTCGATAGGAGTGAATGGAGACGAATGGTATTTGGGACCTCACGATCTGTTGGAGTGTGAGCAGGGTAATATTTAGTGAAGGGATTCAGGGAAACCGGTTATTTTTATATAGCCGGACTTGAGTCCTGGAAATGGGAAGTACAATGTCTGCACTCTAAAGGAGGGGTTTGGGATATTAGCAGTTTGGAGGGATATGTTGTGTATCTTTATACGTATATGCTTCTAAACTGTTGTGTTCTGAGCACCTCTGCTAAAACAGTGATAATGTGTGAGTGAGGTGAAAGTGTTGAATGATGAAAGTATTTTCTTTTTTGGGATTTTCTTTTTGGGTCACCCTGCCTCGGTGGGAGACGGCCGACTTGTTAATATATATATATATATATATATATATATATATATATATATATATATATATATATATATATATATATATATATATATATATATTATATATATATACATATATATATATGTATATATATATATATATATATATATATATATATATATATATATATATATATATATATATATATATATATATATATATATATATATATATTATTGTAGCCACAAACCAGTGGAATTAAATCAATAACAACTCTGCGGCTTATGGCCGAATTATTTACACGAATATTATCCGAATGTTTTAATTAGTGCCTTAAAATAGCTCAGAAGAAAAATATATTCCACTGGGAATATTTTTGCGTTAATGATGCTGATATATCAAGTTTTTTTTTTTTTTGATGGTGGTGAAAATTGTGACGGTGATGGTGAAAGTTGTGAGGGTGACTTTGGTTGAGAACGGTGAAGGGTGTCATGGTGAAAATGGTGAGGGGGGGAGTCAAGGTGAAAATGATGGTTGTATTAGTGGTGATGGTGACAAAGTGGACTATGATGACCAGTGCTGATGAAGTTATAAGAGTGACATGACAGCCAAGAGTGGAGTAAGAGTGCCAACTCAGTGTGCCTGGTACACTGACGTGTAGTGCCTTGCACACTGACATGTAGTACCTGGCACACTGACATGTAGTGCCTGGCACACTGATATATAGTGCCTGGTACACTGACATGTAGTGCCTAGTACACTGACATGTAGTGCCTGGCACACTGATATATAGTGCCTGGCACACTGACATGTAGTGCCTGGTACACTGACATGTAGTGCCTGGTACACTGACGTGTAGTGCCTGACACACTGACATGTAGTTCCTGGCACAGTGGCATGCAGTGCCTGGCACACTGACATGTAGTGCCTGGCACACTGATATATAGTGCCTGGCACACTGACATGTAGTGCCTGGTACACTGACGTGTAGTGCCTGGCACACTGGCATGTAGTTCCTGGCACAGTGACATGCAGTGCCTGGCACACTGACGTGTAGTGCCTGGCACACTGACATGTACTGCATTACACACTGACCCCTCATCACACGTAATATTCTCCCTCTCCTCCCTCCCTCCCTCCCCCTTCCCTCACTCCCTTGTCCTCCCTCCTTCCCTAACTTTATAACCAGGGGAATCCAATACCAAAAACAAATGCCCTAAAGTTACTGATAATTCTCATCTTGGAATCCAATCACAACTCCGATAGTTGAATCCCGGTGCGCCCAAAATTATCTCTCTTACAAAAATATATATAATGTTGCCCGACCCATATATATATATATATATATATATATTATATATATATATATATATATATATATATAATATTATATATATATATATATATATGTATATATATATTATATATACATGTATAAATATATATATATATATATATATATATATATATATATATATATGTATATATATATATATATATATATATATATTTATATATATATATATATATATATATATATATATATATATATATATATATATATATATATATAATATATATATATATACATGTATATATATATTTATTATAGGTAGTAGGCTGGTAAACAGCAACCGCCCAGGGAGGTACTACCGTCTTGCCAAGTGAGTGTAAAACGGAAGCCTGTAATTGTTTTACATGATGGTAGGATTGCTGGTGTCTTTTTTTCTGTCTCATAAACATGCAAGATTACAGGTACGTCTTGCTACTTCTACTTACACTTAGGTCACACTACACATACATGTACAAGCATATATATACACACCCCTCTGGGTTTTCTGCTTTTTCTTTCTAGTTCTTGTTCTTGTTTATTTCCTCTTATCTCCATGGGGAAGTGGAGCAGAATTCTTCCTCCGTAAGCCATGCGTGTTGTAAGAGGCGACTAAAATGCCGGGAGCAAGGGGCTAGTAACCCCTTCTCCCGTATAAATTCCTAAATTTTAAAAGAGAAACTTTTGTTTTTCTTTTTGGGCCACCCTGCCTTGGTGGGATACGGCTGGTACGTTGAAAGAAATATATATATATATATATATATATATATATATATATATATATATATATATATATATATATATATATATATATATATATATATATATATATATATATATATATTTCAACAAGTCGGCCGTCTCCCACCGAGGCAGGGTGACCCAAAAAAGAAAGAAAATCCCCAAAAACAAAATACTTTCATCATCATTCAACAATTTCACCACACTCACACATTATCACTGTTTTTGCAGAGGTGCTCAGAACACAACAGTTTAGAAGCATATACGTATAAAGATACACAACATATCCCTCCAAACTGCCAATATCCCAAACCTCTCCTTTAGAGTGCAGACATTGTACTTCCCATTTCTATATATATATATATATATATATATATATATATATATATATATATATATATATATATATATATATATATATATATATATATATATATATATATATATATATATATATTCTTTCAACGTACCAGCCGTATCCCACCAAGGCAGGGTGGGATATATATATATATATATATATATATATATATATATATATATATATATATATATATATATATTGAAAACGATTATCTTCTTTTGTGTAAATCTTTTCTCGTAATTTATAGATTTTTTTTTTTTTTTGGGGGGGGGGGAATCTGGAGTTACTCTCCACTTGTTCGGACGAAAGTTGACTACCTCGCAGTACCCAGTGTAATTACCTAGGGCTTAGTACTTCCCCATGGCAATAATAATAATACAAATAATAACTCATAATAATAACTAATAATAAAAATAACAACAACAACAATAATAATGATAATAATAATAACTATAATAATAAAATAACAATAACAGAATGACAACATCGACAATAATAATAATAATGATAATAATAATAATAACAACAAGATAACGTAAGCGGCTGTGGCACTGACTTGACAACGGAGAGGATGAACTCGTTAAGCTTGCGTTGTTTGACCATGTTGTGGTAAAGGTCAGCGTAGTGGAGGGCGATACCGCCCCACACCAGGTAAGAGTTGACGATCTCCTCGTCCTCCTCGTGGAACTTGTCTCCTCCCTTCCTCCTGTAGAGCTCCAGCACCGCCGCCAGCTCTCCGTTGCTCTGCACCACAGCCATGGTCAGCGCCTGCTCCACCTCCTGTTCCTGAAGCAACAATGACCCCAATGGAAATAGGTTAGGTAAGGCTCGTCAGGAAACACAAGAAGTGTTTCCTGACACTGGTCTTAGATGATGACCTGCCGTTGGAGCTTTTGGTCATCTGACCGAGGCCTTCTGCTGGCTTACCGGTCCACCCTTTAAAAATAACGGTCAATTATAACCATTTTGTTTATTAATATATAAGGAAATAAGTCACTTTGTCTCACCTTTTTCAGGGTTTATCCCAGGTAATCTACACATATACTGTTATGTATGATAATTTATATAACTGTATTTACGTGTATTTGTATCAGAATAAACTTACTAGGTTAATGCCAGATAAACTTTATTTCTGAGTGTTAATGTGTCTTATGGAAGGTCCGAGGTAGACCAAAGCCTCGTCATATGCTCTTCTCTCTCCTCTATGTGCGGGTTATTTGTGTAGTGTGACCTGCTTTATTGGAAGCTCCTTTATGCGGAGCACACACACACGCGGATGTTAATGAATAAAAGCAGAAACAGGAGCGGAATTCAGTAATAAAAATGACTCATGGGGGGAAGGAGGAAACGGAATTTTAAGGGTGGAAAGTTGAGTGTGGATGGTGCGCTGCCGTCTGTGCTAAGGTCATAGTCGATAAAGCTGTACAGAGAGCGAAACGTCGCTCCGATACGAGCTTGTTCAGCAACATGTTTTCTCAAGGACCGAAAGTTACGGCAGTTCTTATGTGCTAGAAAAATAGATGGACAACACCTGAGCCATATCAATTTTGTATGACACATACGCATTTAGCGCATCTTTCCGATTAATAATAATAACAATATTAATAATAGTAATAGCAGCGCTCTAAGACCCTCGTGGGTGTAGCTCTTACTTTCCATTGTAATAATATTAAACAATAATAATAATAATAATAATAATAATAATAATAATAATAATAATAATAATAATAATAATAATAATAATAATAATAATAATAATAATATTCTGGTTAGTCCACTAACACTTTGTGTTCATAACCCAAATAACTGGTCAGTTATTCCGGCACCTTTGTGAAAAATAACTGGGTAAAAAAAGATATTCATTCTTCAGTCTTAATTTCTTCTTTCGTGAGAGTCTTCTTCCTTGTCAAGCGAATCCTTACGAGGCGTTCCCTGTCTAACATTCCCCTGGTCCTGGCCTCACACCGTCTGTCTAGGACTCCCGTGGTCCCAGTCTCACACCCTCTGTCTAGGGCTCCCGTGGTCCCAGTCTCACACCTTCTGTCTAGGGCTCCCGTGGTCCCAGTCTCACACCCTCTGTCTAGGGCTCCCGTGGTCCCAGTCTCACACCCTCTGTCTAGGGCTCCCGTGGTCCCAGTCTCACACCCTCTGTCTAGGGCTCCCGTGGTCCCAGTCTCACACCCTCTGTCTAGGGCTCCCGTGGTCCTGGTCTCACACTCTGTCTAGCATTCCAGTCATCCTGGCTTCACACCCTCTGTCCAGGACTCCCGTAGTCTAGGCTTCACACCCTAGGACTCCAGGGGTCTTGGGACCCACCATCAATCTGGGACACCACCCGGAAAATTGCTCTTGATGAGATGTGTTTTCCATTGAAAGGTATTCTCTCTATGTCCCTGGAAATGGTCTACGCTTGGGCAGATGACTGTGTCAAAGACACGACTCAATCTTCTCATCCTCCAGCAGTAGGAAACGCTCTTCTTTTTATATGAAGACATATTTTTGTGTGTGTGTGACCTGGCTGAGGTGGATACAAAGTGTGTTGCAGGTTAAGTTATAACACACTCTCTCTCGTCCAATTAACAATGGCCAGAACACTTTGTTTACCCAATGTAGTTCATAGATGTCGTTGATGTGTGCTACTTAAGTGATTATGCGGTTTTTATGGCTGAAGAAATCACTCATTGGTGGTTTTGTGCCAAACCTGCCTTTTGTATTATTATTATTATTATTATTAATTTTATTATTATAATCATGGGTAAGCGTTAAATCCGTATAGGTCACAGAGCGCTAGGGTAAATGGGAGGCATTCAGATTTGGCTTAGCGAAGAGAAGGGAAGCACCTTGATGATGATAAAGAGCTCATGATTCAAGAAATTAGAGCTCCTCTTCCCTTTCTTGGAAGAAACTCGATTACCTCCCATTCCCTTGGCGTTATAGGAACCCTTACGGGTGTAGCGCTTTCTCCTCCGGTTATTTTAACAGTAATGTAGATTGTCCCAACCAGTGGTAGAGCGACTTGATGTTCATAAAAATATAAGAATGGAGGAACACTGCAGTAGGGCTACTGGCCCAAACTAAGCAGATTCCTCTCTAAACCCATACGAGCTTTGGTGCTGTCCTGTGAATATAAAAATTTGTTGGTGGTACACTGGCACATATAGCATAGAAAGACGTTGTTTTTACAGCGATGATTCGATTACAGGGAACTTTTACTTCGAGATCTCTTTTTTTCAGATTGTCTTTTTGTTTTTCAAATAGAACTTTAGAAGCGTCTTTTTTCTTTTCAAGTCGACTTGTAGAAGTTGTCCTTTTTTTTTCAAGTCGTCTTCTGCATGTCTTTAAAAATATTTGCTCCCCAGTTCCTCATCCTCATAGCAGACATAGACAAAACCACCCGGCACACTTTTGTATCATCATTTGCAGATGACACTAAAATAAGCATGAAAGTCAGTACGGTAGATGACACTGAAAAAGTACAGGAAGACATAAACAGGGTTTTCCAGTGGGCAGTGGAAAACAACATGACGTTCAATGGTGATAAGTTCTAGCTGCTTAGGTATGGAAAGAATGAAGAACTCAAAAGGAACACTATGTACAAAACTCAAGAGGGTTACCAAATAGAACGTAAGGAACACGTAAAAGACCTGGGAATAATTGTCAGCGGACCTTTCTTTTAAAGACCATAACAAGACAAAGATCACGACTGCCAGGAAGATGACTGGGTGGGTATTGAGAACTTTCAAACAAGGGAAACAATGCCGATGATGACACTCTTAAAATCGCTAGTGCTCCCTCACCTAGAATATTGCTCAGTGCTGACGGCCCCGTTCAGGGCAGGAGAAATATCAGAGCTGGAACAAATACAGAGATCGTTTACGGCTCACATTGAGCCAGTAAAGCACCTAAACTACTGGGAACGCCTGCAGGTCTCGAACATGTACTCACTGGAGCGGAGGAGAGAGAGGTAGACCTGTAGTTTACCTGGAGAGAGTTCCGGGGGTCAACGCCCCCGCAGCCCGGTCTGTGACCAGGCCTCCTGGTGTATGATAATATATATGATAATATATACCTGGAAGGTACTCGAGGGCTTGGTCCCAAATCTGCACACTGCCATAACAACATACTGGAGTGAGAGATATAGGAGGAAGTGTAAAATAAACCCAGTGAGGAGCAGGGGTAGGGTGGGGACAATAAGGGAACACTGTATCAACATCCGGGGTCCCAGACTTTTCAACATCTTACCAGAAGATATCAGAAACACTACTGGAACAAGTGTTGAAGCCTTCAAGAGGAAACTAGACAAGTATCTTCACCAGGTGCCAGATCAACCAGGCTGTAATGGATATGTGGGGCAGCGGGCCTCCAGCAGCAACAGCCTGGTTGATCAGGCAAGCACCAGATGAGCCTGGCCCATGGGCGGGCTCAGAGAGTAGATATACTCTCGAAATTCTTCAAAGGTATATCAAAGCACGTGTTTTTACCTCTCAGACCATTAATTTTTGTTTGTTTTGGGTGTTGACCCACCTCCAGGAAGGGCCAGGCCTTGGGAAACCTGAAGCCTTGAAGGGATTCACCTTCAAAGAAAGGACAACCCTTAGGAGACCTGTGGTATTGAAGGGACTCACCTCGAGGAAGGGACAGCCTTTGGGGAACCGTGGGTCATTGGAAGGGCCTGTGATGCGAACGGCGTGTCTGGTGCTGGCCACCCAGGCGCAGAGCCACGACCCAACACCCATCTCACAAGACCATGACGACCCGGGGCCTCGCAGCTCTACCCTGAGGGAGAAAATATTGTCAGTGAGGTATGGTAACACAATGGCAGAGTACACCATCAGTAAGTAAATAAGACACTGCGAGTTTATGATATTTTATTGTACAGACGACTTCGTCCACCAGGGGATTTATCAATTCAGGTCAGTAACTACACATACGTTAATTAAATGACATATACGAAACATAGACAGTGGAGTTAAATGTAGGGATTATCTGTCACACACACACACACACACACACACACACACACACACATTCATATGTTTAATACTCTCAAGTGACCTCTCCACCACTCCATAATTCTTCAACACAATCCTTGCCATTACTGACACTCATCCATGCATCTCCCTCCAGCTTCCCTCCTTCTCGTCTTTGATCAGGACTGAAGTAGACAGTCCTTAGAGGATACCCTCGGTGTTGACTTGAAAGTCTTCTGTTGTTCTGTCAAATGATTGTGAAATGGAAACATTCTTATTTGCATTCTGGCAGGACTGCTGGTCTTTTCTTTCTGTCTCAGGAACACATAAGATGACAGGTAAATCTTACAAACTTCCAGTTATATTTAGTATACACATACCTCTACTTTCCTATATTTTTTCTCAGTAGTTCTTCATCCTATAATGGTTCCTGTCTAACCTGTGAGGCGTGGTCTGAGACCGTGCAGTGGGGAAGGTAATTCCCAGAACCACTAACAGATAACAGATATATCCGGGTGACTGGTTAATTGACCTTCAGGCCCATCGACTGCACGAGGGTCATTAAAGCTGCGTGTCTCTTGTTCATCACTAGTCATTAATAATTTAATACCTTGTGGTATTAATGCCTTAATTGGTAAAATAGGGATTACAGTAATTTCTCAATGTATTTACCCTGAGGAACGTGCATCTCTAAGAGTACATATTTCTGGCCTATGTACTTCCTGAAGTGTGTCTCAATACTGTCATCCCAAACACTGACCCTTCCCAACACAGGCCATCCCTAACACTGACCCTTCCCACCACCGGCCATCCCTAACACTGACCCTTCCCACCACCGGCCATCCCTAACACTGACCCTTCCCAACACCGGCCATTCCTAACACTGACCCTTCCCAACACCGGCCATCACTAACACTGACTGTGGCATGCAAAGAGTACGTAACCTTTATTCGGCGCATGTACACACCCTCATTTACAGGCTATCTCCCCCAACCAGCGAACCAGGTGACTAAGAGTTGATGATGGGGCCCGTCGTTCAACTAGTAACCAGGTTCCAGCCAATAAGAAGATGGTTTTGGCAATCGCAGAGGTTATGTAGGTACCACTGTCCTGTCTGCCCTTGTCATTCCCATTCTAGAGCTGGTTGAAGCACGGTCTGCTCTCTTGTGGCTTCTGTTCTGCCTTGCTTACCGTGGAGTGCACTAATACCTGTCACTGTATATAGTGTACATATTGCTGTTCTAAATTGGTGAAGGATAATGTAAGTCAAAACTTTTCTGCTGTGTTTATTTTGCTCCCTTTACGCCCAGGATAACAGGCCATTTGGACTCCTGGGTTGTAATACTGACCCTTCCCAACACCGGCCATCCTAACACTGACCCTTCCCAACACCGGCCATCCATAACACTGACCCTTCCCAACAATGATTCTCCTCAACACTAACACTCCCCAACACTGATTCTCCCTAACACTGACCCTCCCCAACACTAACCCCTCCTTGGTCTCCAGATAGTGGTGGAGGGTGTCAGTCGTGTTGTCAGCCAGGTACAGGTTGTAGCCGTCAGCGTTGACAGCGGAGGAGATACAATGCGCCAGTTCCCACAGCACATGCGCCTTGTTGGGGCGCACGTGCAGCGAAGTGGTCAGCTCCTGCAGCATCTTGCGCTTGTCGGCGTGCACGCAGAACTGCGAAGAGAGGTGCGTAAAAAAAAATCAGATATCACCTTAAAAGGTTAACATTTACGGTTAGGATGCTAGGTTAGGTTAAGCTAGGTTTGATTGCTAGATTACCTTGTTAGATTTGAATTAGGTTGGTATGTAAGTTTTGAGGCAAAAATGAATGAAACATAAGCTAAAAATTTTCCTAAAATCTTAGTATGTTTTATTATGAGGAAGAGAAGGAGGAAGAGGAGAAAAGAAGGAGAAAGAGAAGAGGGAGAAGGATGACCTCTGATAAATATAAACTATTCCACATTGAAAAAAAAATTCGTGTGCTCACACACACATCCTCAGATGAAATTATTTATTAAAATATTGAGTAAACACATGAAAACATTCAGCCATTCCAGTTTATTTTAAATTTTCGCTTTCCATTTGTATGTTGTATGGAAAGTAGACACAAAAAACACAGGTGTATAGGCCACGGCACCGGCAACACTCAAGCAAGGAGAGGCGTAGCAGGTGCACGCTTCCTGACAGGCGCCTTGATACTAGTAAAGGGCCCTTGATAATGGAAATTAGAGCTAAATCCTCTTCTCTTGGATCAAATCTCATTACCACTTATTCTCCAGGAGCTACATTGTCCCCCTAAGGATTTAGGGCTTCTCCATGAATATAATAATAATAATAATAATAATAATAATAATAATAATAATAATAATAATAATAATATCACTTTCTGAAGACGTAAACAAGCTAAACGAAAATTCAATAAGTGACTACTGGAGTTCAACCCCGGCAAATGTAGAGACAGAAAGAAAAGGTATATAATTTTAAGAGGTCGGGGGAGGGGTCCGAATGATAGTGAACTGACCCCCAGCAAGCATGAATCAGTGAGCAGGAACACACACACACACACACACACACACACACACACACACACACACACACACACACACACACACACACACATACACACACACACACATACACGCACATACACGCACACGCCTCATTCCCTCTTCAAACATGGTTTAATTATCAAACTCATACAATAACTTCGTGAAAGCAAAGTCGTTTATTCTGCCGAAGTTAAACAGTTGATTTTTGTTCACCTGGAAAATGAACTTCCTGGAATGAGGTTGATCCACTTAGTGGGTGAGCTACCTGGAGGGTGAAATACCTGGAGGGTGAACTACCTGAATGGTGATCTACCTGAAGGGTGAACTACCTGGAGGGTGATCTACCTGGAGGTTGAAATACCTGGAGGACGGAAAACCTGGAGGGTGATCTACCTGGAGGTTGAAATACCTGGAGGATGGAAAACCTGGAGGGTGATCTACCTGGAGGGTGAACTATTTGGAGGGTGGACTACTTCGAAGGCGAGGAACCTAGAAGGTAAACTACTTAGAAAGTTTAACTACCATGAAGATGAGATACCCATAATGTAAACTACCTGGATAATAAACTACCTGTCGAGAAAATACAAAATGTTACCTGGAGACATACAAGACAAACCACCTGTCGGAAAAAAAACGATGGTACATGGACAGCATTACCAATAAGAAAAAACAAATAGTGAATATGAAAATGGTATACAATGTGCAACAGTTAGGTAGAGATGTGCAACAGTTAGGTTAGAGATGTGCAACAGTTAGGTTAGAGATGTGCAACAGTTAGGTAGAGATGTGCAACAGTTAGGTTAGAGATGTGCAACAGTTAGGTTAGAGATGTGCAACAGTTAGGTAGAGATGTGCAACAGTTAGGTTAGAGATGTGCAACAGTTAGGTTAGAGATGTGCAACAGTTAGGTTAGAGATGTGCAACAGTTAGGTTGAGATGTGCAACAGTTAGGTTAGAGATGTGCAACAGTTAGGTTAGAGATGTGCAACAGTTAGGTTAGAGATGTGCAACAGTTAGGTTGAGATGTGCAACAGTTAGGTTAGAGATGTGCAACAGTTAGGTTAGAGATGTGCAACAGTTAGGTTAGAGATGTGCAACAGTTAGGTTAGAGATGTGCAACAGTTAGGTTAGAGATGTGCAACAGTTAGGTTAGAGATGTGCAACAGTTAGGTTAGAGATGTGCAACAGTTAGTTAGAGATGTGCAACAGTTTAGGTTAGAGATGTGCAACAGTTAGGTTAGAGATGTGCAACAGTTAGGTTAGAGATGTGCAACAGTTAGGTTAGAGATGTGCAACAGTTAGGTTAGAGATGTGCAACAGTTAGGTTAGAGATGTGCAACAGTTAAGTAGAGATGTACAACAGTTAAGTAGAGATGTACAACAGTTAAGTAGAGATGTACAACAGTTAAGTAGAGATGTACAACAGTTAAGTAGAGATGTA